TGTCAGGTGTTTTCTGACCACGCGTAGTAACAATTAGATATGTACTACTACTGTGTTTTCAAACAGGCTCCATGCTGTCTCATATGACTCTCTGATACCTTTTGGATACTCAAGAATTTGCATGCCTATCCTCCAAAGTCCTCTTTCCAGTACTTAGTTGACAGATAAGTGCTATTTATCAAGATTAGAGCACTTCTGAGCATATGATAGACATTTAGGGTATGTGTAGAGCAGTCATGAAAAAGTTTGAGGGCCCATTCCTTGCTTCCATGTGTAATATTAAGCTCCCTCACCCTCCAGGACAGGACAGCTGCATACAAATCACCTGCTGCAGCTGGTTCTCAGCTTGTAGTAATTCCCACACTGTGCTGAGAACTGCTAGTTAGTTTGAGCCGAAAGGATGTCAGGGACCATACTAAAAATTTAATAATATGGTCATCAAATTCTGGTGCCTCTGCCTGATGCTTTTTAATTCCCTGGGCATAGGCATTTACTTTGGAAACCTTCAGGGTGACCATCAGGCACCTTTTACATTTAAGAAGCTGGAAGGTTTAGATGTTAGTGGAGAAGTGCCAGCTTGGATTTTTTTTTCTTCTGGGATTGTTTATCCTTGAGGGGAGAGAAGACTCAGGGGCAGTGGAGGTCATTATGTGTATAAGTACCTGATGGTGGTGAATAAAGAAGATGGAGTCAGTCTCTTCTCAGTGGCACCGAGTGAAAGGACAAGAGGCAATGGGCACAAAGTGAAATACAGGAAATGCCGTTTTAAACATAAGAAAAAGCTTTTTTACTGTGAGGATGGTGAAGCACCGGAACAGGTTGCCCAGGCAGGTTGTGGAGCGTCCATCCTCGGAGATAATTCAAAACCCAACTGGACACGGCCATGAGCAACCTGCCTTAGCTGGCCCTGCTTGAGCAGGGGAGTTGGACTAGACAGTCTCCAAAGGTCCCTTCCAACCTCAACAATTCTGTGATTCTGAGTTAGTAAAAAAATCAAATAAACTTTATCAAAAGTTGGAAGCAATATAACAAACAAGAAAATATTCAATTGTCGTGCAAAGTATCCACTGCCCTGCTTCCAAAAGACTTCTCAGGGTAGTGACGCTTGAAAATGAGCAGCATGAGGGATGTGCCTCTTCTCAGGGACAGAGTGTGAGGGAAGTGGCACAGTAGTAATAAAGGTGCCACTTAAGGTTGCTCTGCAGCGTTGTCTTTACTCTTGAGAACTCAAATACTTTAGGTAATGAGGATAATTTCAGGCTTTGGACAGGATTTCTGAGGAAAGAGGTTAAGGACTAGGTTGTGTTTTTATAGGCACCATCCTACTTTGTGGCAAAACAAAGGTTCATCTGCTTCAGCTGGCGCCCCAAGAGCCGCTGTGCCCCTGGAAGCTCTGGAGGCTGCGGGTGAAATGTGTTTCCTTCTTCCTAGCAGCTGATTGCTGCAGGATGCAGAGAGAGACTGGGCCTTCCCCTTCATCACCCACCATTTCTGGGGAACCAGCAGGTCATACCAAGTGTTATGTACACAGAAGCTATTAAAGTCACCTCAGTGGAAAGAGTTGTGACGGTGCTGCTGCCCACCCTGTGCACGGGAGGCTCCAGCACCTACCCCGAACGTCGATGGCCTGTGTTGTCAGCCATCCTCAGCCTAAAGGAGTTGAAAGTGGCCTAAATGCACAAACAAGTGGGTTGTTTGGAGACGCAGCCAGCAGCATGCAGCCCCTGCCATGACTGACCTGAGCGCAGTGCAGCCTGAGGTCTCCCAGGAGCAAGCCCTTACCGTTCAGTGAGTAACCAGTCCCCGTATCCACCGTCACTTGAAGTGATTCTCTGCTACAGACACTCGAGATGAGAGCATTTTTGCCCTAACTGTTGTCATTAGGTACGTTTCAGCTCCTCTCCCACATCAACCCAGTGCAGAGGTGCAGAGAGCAGAGGGCATCCTACATCATCAGTTTCTCTGCACTACCTGTGTGAAGAGAGGATTTTTCTCAGCCTTTCTACCACAAATAACTGTGTTTCTCCACTTAGGTTTCTGTGCTCATTTATTTTTCTTTTTCTCACTGTTCATTTTAACTCCTAAAAGTTGTTTTGTTTCTTCTTGCCTGGGACCTACCTTACTAAGAACCTTTCAAAAACACGGTTTCCACATTATTAGGAGACTCCTGAAGTGGCCTTCAGAACACCCCAGGAGGGCACAGAAAGCCAGCTCTTAGGTGTGTCATTCAAGCACGGCTCATTTACCATGTACAAACCCACCTACCATATGGGCTTTGCCCAAGAAAGAGAACTGCTGACTGTGCTTCATTCAAGTCTAATTCCCGACGGGGTTGGTAGGCATACACAGAGAAACAAAACTCAAAACCGAGCAGTTTCTGTCCCCTTTGTTGTGGAGCTGTCACTCTCCTCTGTCTCCAGGAGGACTGCTAGATATCCAGCTTTTCCCTCTGTCTGCTCTTTTTCTACCTTGATAGTTTCCGAACATGTGTATGAGAGTGTCTTAAACCTGGCTCCTAATTTGAGGTTCTTCTGAGAACACCGTGGTGAAAATCTATGCAACCTGGAGATCAAATGAGAACAAAAAGGCAAGACTGGAGCACTGAAGTGTGGAGTTCTTAAGAAAGCTCCAGTGAGCTGCTGCTCAGTGCCATTTTTGTTCAATATTTTGATATCTGCATTAATCATTCAGTTGCGGAGACTTTGCTCGAGTCCTTTTGCCCACCTTTGGACTGTCCTGCAACCTCAGCCCCCTCAGAGGTCTCCCTTGAAGCCAAAGTCTTGCCCAGTCTGCCCTCTCAAGGAAGCATGGGCTCCCTCTTGTAGACAGAACAAGATGTCCTTGCTGTGATCTGTTGTCAGCGTGAAGAGCTAAACTGCAGGATCTTCTCCCCTTCTGGTCCCAAAGCACAGCCACTACAAGGGGAGATGGTTGTACAGGAGCTGCGTGTGTTCTTGGCATCTCCTCCGTCAGCACCATCCACTTCACAGGAATGTGAAATGTCACCATCCATTTCACAGAGAGAGGCACAGGCACCGTGGCCTCACTTGTCTGTGCTGCTAAAACGAACAGGCCCTGCTTAAGGAAACTCTAGATTACGACCTGGTGTCAGAAGCAGGCCAGTGTACTAATTCATTCCTCAGGCGTTTCTCAGCCAGGGAGGCCTCTCCATGATGAAGGTGCCTCCTCAGCTCTGAGTGGGCAACTTAATGTGTCTGCTGGCCCCAGGGATGATTTTGAGTCTTATTAGATCTCCTAAGCATCTTAGATCTGCTGATCTTTTCCAGCATCTGAAGATTCCACTGGAAAAATACATTGAACCAGCACGAGATCCAATGTCGTTCTTACATCTCTGTCTGGTCTGGGCTCATAAACCTGACTTCTTCGTCCTGCAGCTCAGCTGCCAACAGATTCTCCTACAAACTACAGATTCTTGTTTAATTACCCAGTACTTTTGTCAGTAGTGATTGTGACTGCTGGTGACAAGTATGCCAAAACACAAGGGCCACAAAGGTCAGGATTCACAGGGAAAATGCATTTATCCAGCAACCTCCTTTCAACTGAAGCTTGTTAATTTAGGGGTTGAGAAGGGTTAAGTTTTCCAGAGGCAGTGACCATGCTTAAATTTAATGTCTATCAATAATCCTGTTCATTTCAATAGAAAATTAAGCAAATACCTCTTTTGTGGCCTTGGGTTTACCAAGCTGAATGTTTGGCAGGCTAACAATGCTGAGCTTACACTGAGCGTGCAAACAGACTACCTGGAAGTCCCAAGTGACATAGCAATAGCCGGCGAGTCTTGGTTCACATTTAGTTAACAGCAAATCGCAGAAACTGAATGAGCTGGAAGACTTCATTTAACCCTAGTGTCATTGCTGAAGTGATGAATTGGAAAAAGAGGAGAAATGGGACCCACAGCAAGCATTCTTGTGCAAGAAATTAGTATCAGCTTACTACAGAAGCTGTTCAAAGACCTTTCTGCAAAGACATTCTTGGGATTTTTGATAAACTATTTCTAAGCATGGATGAAACTGTATAGTACCAGTGTGTCCTAACAAGAAAATGTAGAACATCAGTTAGTCACATTGCCAGCAATGTTTAGGTACCACTATTCTATCCTAAGTTATTCTGACTTTTCTTCACTAGCTGATGTATGAGGTCAGTATTTCACTAAAAGACTTTCTTTATGATAAAATGTAGAACTGTGTCTTTTCATAAGGAAGGTTCTGGCTTTTGTAACTTATCCTATAGCAAAGACAATGACTTGCCTTAACAAAATACTGTCTGTGCTGTGGGAACAGGTAGATATGGCATTTTTTTCTGAAGGTCTTAGAAATGGCAAGCAAAATTCATCAGACTGTGTTAACAGATGATGCAATGTAGCCAGAGGCACCCATAGCCAGAGGTTGCTTCACATATACTTACTTGGCAGGTAAGTATATGTGCCTGCCTGATCAGGCAGGTGGTTTTCCCAGGACGAGGCTCATCCCTTGCACTCCGGGTGTGCTGACCCCTGCGATTTCCCCAAATGCGGGAAACTCGACTGCATAATTTGTGGGAGTGGGGGACTGCGTTTGCGCTCTCCCCTGAAAAAGAGAGAGAGAGGTGCTCTCCTTCCCTCCCTCCTGTTCTTGCCTTCCTTCTTGTGCCATCACTAGTGCTTACGTGGCTAGGAAGATTAAGGAACTGATTTTTTTATTTGTAGGGATAATTTTTATCTTGAGCAATGCCTAGATGTGGCTGACTGTGTGGCCAGATGTCAGTGGCGAACCAGATCACCCTTTCAGCAGCAGCCCACACTGAGATCAGCTGTAAAACCGCATGGAGATGTGCCTCCGCAGTCCATCTCAGCACAGGTTTTTTTAATTGTTTTTCAGTCTGGGCTGTAAGCGTTGTACCATGGCATTTAGGAAATGTGGGACTGAATCCATACAATATGTCATACGTAGTAAGAGGTAATGAGTACTGTGTTTAATTTTTCTCTATTCTTCACCCACCAGCCTCGCCCACCAACAGACCTGGGTTTCAACTTCGATGCCAATAAACAACAAAGGCAGCTGATAGCAGAGCTGGAAAACAAAAACAGGTAAAGGGCAAGCTTTACTCAGTATTTTTTTATGAACAACATTTGAGAAAAGCTTTTAGTAGTAATACTTTATTATTTTTAACATTTTGTATTATATAAACCAGATGATTTTCCTAGATCTTTTATTGAAAGCTGTATCTGAGTCATTAAGCACTTAGGTCAGTGCTGATGCAGCTGCAGTGCCCTTATTTCCCCAGGGAACAGGTTGAAACTAGCTTGGGTGTAGGCACGTGAGCTGCAGTTTGGAAAAAAGTAAAGATGTACCTTAAGCATGGACGTCAGCACTCACCATTATATCTCTGGATTTGAAAATGCTGCGCTATCGTAAATAAGAATTTGGCTCCAAATATGTTAGAGTTTACTGCCCTGAAATGGTTATTTCCATTCCTAATCACAATAAGGAGACCTAGAAACACACAGAGCGAAGGGGTCTCCATGTTGAGAAACTGCCACAGGATGATGATTTCCCTAGCGTGCCCTGCCCCGAGACTTCACGAAATCTCCTTAACTGGCACTGAGCATCAGGAGCACCAAACCCAGCGAAATTCTTAGGGCAGAATGAGCCGTTCAGATGGCAGCAATAGAATAAGTCAGCTAATGTATAGCAGCACAAGCAGGTCATTTTTGAAAGACTGTGGTAAACAAATGTAATGTGAGAAGAAGGAGGATTTTTTCCATTTGCTGGAAGACAAAAAAAAGTCTAAAGAAACTGCAAGGCCTGCAAGAAATAGGAGAGAGGGACTGTAGGAGATGGGCTTCCTTCTTATTCTAGAGGGACTGTTAAGTCCCTCTTAGGGACCATGAAGACAGCACTCCATTTTTATTATAATACTGTATTTGCACTTACCTGCTTCTTCAGCATCCCCATTTTGAGTTCATGTTTCTCTGGCTAAGAGAAGCTAAGAAACTACTGTTCTAAAAAAGCAGCCTTTGGAGCAGTTGCAAGCATAATGTGCTTTATTGCATGGAGAGCCTGTAGGCTGCCTGTGGACATCCTGTGGGTGCCTGATGGCACATCAGCTTCCCAGGTGTGCTCAGGTCTCCACGTGCTCCAGAGGACAAGCTCCAGCTGCACCTGAGCTTGCATGGGTGGGCTTGCTGGGGTCTTGAGCATCATCAAGGCACCCTCAGCAGACCAGACAAATATATTTAATAAGGTTACTTTAGAGGAGTCCCAGTTCCTGGAGAGTATGTGAACAGCTTGATCCTTGCATGGTATAAGCATGCTACCAAGAGAGTTTGCAGGTATTTGAAATTATGCATGGAGATCATAGATTTCAGTGCTGTCATGAAACCTTATAGGAAGAGCAGCTCAGCAGTTTTTAAAAAGAACGACGGGGGAGAGAATTAGAGATTATAATGTTCACTCTCAGATCAGGAGGATTCTTTTACATTTTAACAAATGAGGCCTTAGCAGTCAGTGATATGTCTCCTAACCTTCAGCTACTCCGAATGCAAAGGCAGTTTGGAGTGCACACCAGCTGCATTCGCTTTGTGAGACCTCATGAGCAGTTTATAGCAGGAAACGAACCAGGACCAGCACTGGCTGCAAATGCTGGCAGCACTGCTTCAAGTCTTTCTTACAGTAGGTGCAAACGGAAGAGCAGATTATGCTGAAAACGTAACTCTTTTCCATTTAAAACAGTCTCTGAGCCCATCCCACATGAAAGGTTTTGAAGAGACATTGCCAGCATGTGGCACAGAAGTGATTTCATATTTCTCATTACTTCAGTAATAAATTTTCTATGAGTATTATAACAGTTCATTGGACTGCACTAACTTAAGCTTTCTTGGATTTGAATCTGTGTCAATCATCAAAAAAACTTGCTGTATTTAAGCCAGGGGCTGGCAGAAAGCATGCTTGAAGGTGTATATAAGTATTGTAAGAGCAATGTAGAGGCTAACCGTTTTCCTCCTTAATCTTCCCTCTGTAATTTAAATAGAGAGATACTCCAAGAAATTCAGCGTCTCAGACTGGAGCATGAGCAAGCCTCCCAGCCCACACCTGAGAAAGCCCAGCAGAACCCAACTTTATTAGCCGAACTCAGGCTTCTACGGTAAAGAAATATCTAGAGCTTAAGCGCATTTGATAGCTTTGCCAGTCAGCCTAAGTGGTCTCTTCTGTAGCACAGACGATGCTAACTGTTGTGTGGAGCAGTGTAATAGTGGCATCCCTTTGATAACCCTAAGGTGTTATTTTAATCTACTGAATTCTGAAGCCTGACAGCATGTTATAATTTGCCATTTTAAAAATGAATTTAGAAGAAAATAAGATATACTTAAAATGTATTCCTTGGATAGTTTGGAAAACTGTTTGGAAAGAAGGAAAACTTGACAGAAAAACTAGCAGAACTGGGATTAGCTGCTTGGTAGTTATTTTCCAAAAGAGTGAAGTTGAAGATAAATGTCAGTTATTTGATTAATCAGTGAATCTCTGAAAGTTCATAGCTCCAAACTTTTGGAGAAAGTTGGAGAAAAATCTTCAAAGCCTTTTGATTAAGTTTGCATTTTGAAGTGACAGGGGAAAATTGCCAGTTGTTTCAGAATGAAGTGTGTCATAGTTTGGGTACTGACAAGAGAATTCTCTGGCTATATTTTATTGAATAGCTGAATAACTAATTGAATATATTATTTATTGAATAACTGTTCTTCTATTACTAGCTAATTGACAGTTCAGCCTTCAAAAAATGCCATCTGTAATCTGAGGAAGGTTCTGAAATGTAAGCCTTTGGCAGCAACAGCTCTTTGAAAACTACATTATATTTCATTTGTTGGAGTAAACATTGTCTGTCCTCTTAGGAAATGGCACAGTTGTTGCCACTTGACATTACCTTGAATATTTGAAAAATTTCCCTAAAGTGTAATGCTCTTGGAAGGAAGCCACTTCAACAGAAGGCAATGTCTGTAAAGTATGATCCAGCCCCATATTACAAGATCTAAGGCTTTCAACTTCTTTCGTTCATTTTTCAGATGGAATCTGCTACAGTATAATCCGTTTCAGCACCTCACTGATCGTTTTTCCTTCTCTAAGAAAGTGGTATTAGTTTAGAAAGTCTCCAGCTTATGGGTGTTGCATAGCTCTGGTTTCCATGTTTTTCAAAATGTTTAAAAATGGAGAAGGTGCAGAAAATATCCACAAAAGTTACTCAGGAGCTGGACAAAAGGAGATTGTGAGGCAACTTGGTTGTGGTGAATAAGCACTTTACTGGAGAAAATACTGGGTGTTGAACAGCTGCTTGATTCAGCAGAGAAAGGTATCGTAAGAACCAAGAGCTTAAAGTAGAAACCAAACACGTTCAGACCATAAATAAGGTATATGTTTTTCAAAGGGAGACAGTAATCTGAAGAGCAGTGGATTCTCAGTCCCTTGGTGACTTTCCTGAAGATATTTTACCAAAATACAGGTTATTGGGCATAAAGGAGAGCTAACTAGGAGGAATTAAAGGGCTTGTATTTTGCTGAAGGAAAATAGTTGGATGATGGTTGCAGCCGCTTCTCAGCTTCAAATTTGTAAATGCCTTTGGCAAACAGTCATTGGAGAAAAAAAGTTTTGAGTTGCAGCTTATAAAGACTATCAAGAGTCATCCTGATTGTCTAGTCTGGCCTTCTAAATAGCACAGCACAGAAAATTTCTTGCAGTAATGCTCTTACAAAACCCTTTTTGACTGGGTTAGAGCTCCCATTTCAGAACGATATTCAAGCCTTCATTTTAACAGAGAGACTACCACGTTCTTTGACACTGTTAAGGCGATTCCTTCCGCTCTTAACCTTCTTCTGGGTAAATGGCTTGAAGTTCTGCAGTCTCTCCATAAAACAGGTTTGCCAAATCTCCAGCTACCTCTTTAGCTTGCTGTCAAGTTTATTCTAAGTTGTCTGCATCTTTTATATTTTTATAGGCCCCAGAACTGGCTGCAGTATCCCATAAGTAGTCTCATTAGTGCTATAGATGGAGGTAATATTAGCTTTCTTACCACCAAACATTACTCCCGTTAGTAAATTCAAGGTGCACACTAATTTCTTGACTGCATAGCGTCACACTGGAAGTTCACATTGAGCTAGTTATCTGTAATGTGGAAGTACTGCACAAAGTCATGTCTTTTCAGGCGATATCCCCCAAACCTGCGTGACCAACATGTCAGGGTCTTGCTTTTGATTATATTGAAGCACATGTTTACAAATGATCTCAAGCGTTGAGTGGAATTTAAGCTTGGAAAGCATGAAAATGTTAATTCATGGTAAATCGATTTGTCCCACTTTTAAAAATCTGTAGACAATGCAGATGAGTCGGCTCTACCACATCATCGGCAAATGTACCCTTGGATGGAGTAAGGCTAGATTCGTCATACTTTCGGGTGCCTGCCTTGTAATGCAGATATGCTTTGTTTCTTCTGCCTGCAAGTACGCAGGATGCTCGTTTATACGCGGGTGCCATGGATCTGTTTGCTCCAGGCTCCCAAGCTACACCTTTCCATTTATGCCGCCAGAGATTGACCTATCAAATTTATTATTTAGCATTTAGCATGTTTTTGTTATTGACAAACAGTACCTCCTCTTTCTTCCTAGGTCATTGAAAACAAAACTGAATAACCTAAGCCAAAATCAGATATACACCTTGATGTTGATTCTTCATTAGCAAATACGTTTGGAGAGCTACACGTATTTAATCTGTTGGTTTTATATTGATTTTTAATCTTTACCAGAATGCTATGTTACAATTAATTATAGTAATTTTAAAATTATTGATATTATATTAATTATTGATATCAATAGTTAATTGATTATTAATGGTGAGAGTTATAGAAAAAAGAGCTACAGACTTTGAACTGGCCTAGAGAGAAAAAAACAGATCATATAAACATGTAAAGCTAAGTCTGTTATGATTTTTTAACATACTCTAGGTGACCATCCATGTGTAATCAACTCTTTATATGCCTTATTTTTGTGATATGTTTGGGCATTTAAAAACCACATTCTTCCAAATGCAAAATGTTATTGGATGACAAACTTAGAATAGCTAATACTTTTAAGTGCCCATATAGAAACAAGTTAATTCTGCCACATAGTCTTGACAGTTTTCTAGCTGCAGTGAATGCTTATTGTATGCCACGTTCACAGTTACCGTAATAAAAGCAAACCACACTCAACAGATTTATTCAGTGTAAGTAAATAGCCTGTTTCTTGTTCAGGTTCTGCTGTCCAGTAGGCAAGTCTAGAACAAGAATGATTTATCCCGGAATGATTTATCCGTACTGTATCACATAAAACATAGATATAGCCTAAGAAATCTTCAAGTTCAGTCTACAATTTATGAGGCCTTTAACTTTAGAGTAATCATTATTATAGCCACAAAAATAACTGTAAATGAATAAATAACCCTTTCTATTTTTTATAGTTATTTATCATTACCTTTAGCTGTCATTTGTGGGTCCAGCACGTCTTAAGTCATATAAGATTCTGAACTTTTGGCATATGTTACAGTTTATCTCTCAATTTTTCCTTATATTAGCTACTTCTTTATTTTTTTAAATATAGAATAGAACCATACAGTCGTATTTTCTTAAGTCTCTCCCAGACAGACATTCATTCTGGCACTTGTAGAAATACAGTGATTTTTTTATTATGCCCAGGAAAATGAAGGCCACTTACTACCTCCTATTAATTTTATTAGAATGAACATAGGTGTTGGTACAGCAAATATTTCAAAGATTATATGTCACATTATTAGATAGAAATAGCTCTGCAGAGTCTCCGTTAAGAGAGGCGATAGCCCAGTGCCTTTCCTTTCCAGATATGTGCAGCCTTTACTCCTCTTTTTTACTTTTTTTCCTCCCATGGTTCATTCTTACTTGTATGACAACTCTGCAGGATGCGTGGGTCTGACATTATTAAGAGTATTCTTAAAAAGACGCTGGCTTTTTTCTCAAAATGCAACGCTTTAAAAAAGTGCTTCCCACTAGGAAGACTCTGACTTCAGGTTTCTGGATTTTAAATGAAAAGCCTGATTGTCGTGTGTAGGATTCATGGTGATTGTACTGTGATTTGCTCTAATTTTTTTAAATTGGAGGCAGGGGGGAGTGATGAAAGATTTAGTTCTATGGGTGAATTTCCTGAAGTGGTTTTGAAATACCCAAAGTGTATTTTCTGACACTTTATTTAATGTAACTTGAACAGGCAGAGAAAGGATGAACTAGAACAGAGGATGTCTGCACTTCAGGAAAGCAGAAGAGAACTGATGGTGCAGCTTGAAGGGCTAATGAAACTGCTCAAAGTAAGCCATTTTATTTCAGCAATGCAGTACCTCCTTCTCTTCCACAGGTCTGGCATTCGCTGTTGTTGTTCTGAGGTTCTTACTTTGCTGGCCTTGTCATTATACATAAGCAACGTCATAAGCAATGGAAGGAATTTGCAATAGTCATTTCTACACTGGCTCTGCATATTGGTCCAGATGGTTAATGGGTCTTCAGGCTCATATGCTGCTGCTTTGGTTAAAATTATGGAGAACCCATACTATTTGGAAGGCTTTGGAGAGAAAGCGTTAGATTTGGTAATCATCAGGAATATTGCAGTGAGGAAGGAGCGTGTCTGCAGTCCTGGGTGACAGTTCAGCTCTCTAAGTGTAACTGGGAACTGTAGTTACTGCAGTACAGAATCTGACTCCCCAGTGGCAGGGCAGCGCGCGTCGCCAGGCAGCGTTACGCTGCTCCTTCGACATCTGCAGAGTCCGTTCTTTTTGCTCTAAGACAAGGAGGGTGTTGGTTCTGCTCTATGGGGCGCGTTATTGTTTGGATTTCTGATGAGGATCCATTATTTTTTTCAGTCTACTGCCAGAGCTGAACTCATAGGCCTGAAATACTGTTATACATTTATTCTTTCCATTCTTTAAATTGGATAAGAGCCTCGTTCTGTTAAATGAATGGGAAAACGTTGTCCTTATCCAAAGAGTTTTCCATCTAAGACAGGACACAACAGGGATGTGATAGGCAACAGAAGAAGTGGGAGAGATATCACAGCATTATGCTGATCGGACCACAGATTAGCTATAGGCACATCTTAATATTTCCAGATGAATTTAGAGCTTGTCTTCACCTGAAACTGATAATAAATTCACATAGTGTATAAATTCAAAGTGCAGTGCCTCTTCAGATTAGTTTTGCAATCCGGAATAAAAATGTGTATACAAGAGGCTATAATAGAATAATACCATTCGAAGGCAACTGTTTTAATTGATTACCCTGTGCAGATGAGCACATACTTAGAATTAATGTTTGTGGGATTTTTTTTGTCAGTGATTCTGTACACTACAATTTTTTGTTGATGTCTGCTTTCTAAAAATGCTGAAGACGGTCAGTCAGAAATTCACCTTGAGTTCTGTGGACCCTAAACCTTTATAAAAGTCAAAGTGCAATATCTCTGAAGATGGGCATCCAAAACTGAAATACAAATTAAAAAAAAAAAAAAGACAAAAAATTGTTGTATCAGGAAGTATGTGACCGTTTGTGGTTTAGATGACCACACTCTTAGCATTCAAAACTTTTTTGCTGCCCACATTCCAAGAGTCTCTTTATAACAGATTCAGCTTTGATATCTGTATTAACATGGTGACAAGCTCGTGCTTGAGATTTTTGGAGACCCTCTCATCTTCAAAGCACTCATAAGCCTTTGCATTATAAATCTCCCAAAACACCACCTTATGTAAATGTTACCATCTTCCTTAGGGTAAAGGGCTGCTCTGTGACCTGGCCTGACCTTCTGCTCTTCCATTTTGAGAGCTTTAAAGGCAGAGTTGACCGTCTTTCTTAGAGAAATGCACTCCTGTGAGCCTGTCCAACATGCGGGGCCACAGAGCAACCTGCAGAGCTTTATCCGCCCAGCAGCCAAGCGGCGGCAGGCAGGTAGCACGGGAAACCTTTTCTCTCTGCCTGGCCATCATGTCCTCATCTCCTAACTGCCCAAACAGCGTGCATTTCCTCTTGCCCCGCTGGTAGGAGATGTGCGCGTGGCTTATTGCGCAGCAGCAGAGGATACTGAAATCAGTAACATGCTGATAAGGAAAGCACAGAGGCTCTTGCAGTGAGGAAAGAGCACAAGAGCACAAATGACAGATACTGCAATTTGGGAGACGTAGGAGGGAGGCAAGAATATTGCAGCAGAGGGAAGGGAACCGTAACCAGTCCGCATAAACTAATGTTTTTAGGACCCGCTCACTAAGTTGCATTGTGCAGTCCACCTCTACCAGAAATTATGAGCTTGATGCAAACTTTAATGACATTTTGTAGCCTGTATTATACAGAATGTTAGTTTAGAAGCTTCCTCTTGTTGGTCTTTTCATTTGCAAATCTAATATCTTCTCATTTACTACCCCAGTTCCTAAAATTATTTACAATTTTTAAGGGCAAATAGGACTGGATTTAAGGAAATACTTTTTCCCCCATGAGATCAGTCAAACAGTGGAGCAGGGGCCCAAAGAGGTTGTGCTGTCTCCCTCCTTGAAGGTTTTTACAACCAGCCTAGATAAAGCTCTGGTGAGCAGGAGGTTGGACTAGAGGCGGCCTGAGGTTCCTTCCAACCTGAAATATCCTATGATCCAATAACTATTTTAATCATTTGGCTTGACCTACTGTGTAATATGGGTCCTTGAGTCTCCCCTTGTTAGTTCTGTATGAGCCTGAAAGCTGCTGATGGGTTAAAGCATCTTCCAAAAAGAAATCTGGTCTTGAACTGAAGATATCAAAATGGAAAATCCACTGCCCGTGCAAATTTGCTTAAAAATATATGCCCCGTTTCCAATTTTCAAGTATTTAGATTCAGTTTGCACCTACTGGTTTTGGTGCCTGTGGTTTCTCCTCCATTAACTCAAGGGGCACTTCAATACCCCTGTTTTTTTCCTGTGAAGATACTTACTCATCTCACTTTTCAATCTTCTTTTTCAAGTCAGCTAGTCAGGCAGAGCTCTGCTGAGTTTCTCACAATATTGTACTTCAGTCATTTTTATGGTGGATTTCTTCGCCTTCTCCAGATTTTTAATAATATTTTTAAATTGTGAAAAAGCAAACTGAATTCTTCTCTAAGTCTTAGCAGCACTACACAGAGAGTTACAGGAGTAGTTTCATTACACTTCATCACTCTCCTCCTTTTTGTGCATTTCTGCACCAAAGACTGCCTTTTGAAAGTTGTCAGTGTCGATTTCTTATTCCATGTAATATGTGCTTTATTGATTTTATATAGTGCTAGCTGTTTAATGGGAACGTCATGAGTAAATTGTGTCATATGAAAATTATTACGTCTATGCAGTTCCTTTAGAAGTCAAACGTGTAACATATTCAAGTAACAAAATCAGGTTTATTTCGCCTGTTTTCCTTGAAGCCATAATGCTACTTATATTCCTTATCAATTGCATCTTATATCAGTATTTCTGTTACTTTGAATAAATTAATGACAGGGCAAGATATTTATACTTATTTGGGTTGTGTTACCTCCCTTTTTGAATATCAGGGCAAGACAGCCCATTCCAGCCTATCAGAATTTCCCTGGTATTCCAGGATCTATTAAAAATTGCCTTAACTGAACCAGATACCTGCTTATGTAATTATTTTAAGATTCTGGGCTACAGTCTGCCCAGGCTTACTGATCTAAAAATAGTATTTCTAGTAGATACTCTTTAGCATCTTTTTTCATTATTACTGGAAACACTGTTTCACTGCTAATGGCAACTACAAGAGAAAAACACTTCATCATCCTATTATTCAAACGCAGAACAGAAATATTAATTCCTGTTTTCATATTAAGAATTTTACCATCACTATCAAGAAACAATGCACACCAACTCAAGGCTTTCTTTTGTTTCAGATATTTGTATTCATTTTAAACTCTCCTCCTGGGTGGGCTCTAGCCCTGCTAGACATTTATTTTCCCCTGAAGTTTTTAGCTTCTCTCATCATTTTGTGAACTTCCAAAGTTTCTGTTTATAATACTGTTAAGTGCTTGTATTTTTTCCATATATTTACAAAGTATTTTTTAATGCTGTCTTCATTTTAGCTTGATAAGTTGGCTCCATCTGTAAACAAGAGAGAGAGGAAACATATCTTTGGAAGGAGATAGTTATTCTCAGGAGGTTCGTCTCTTTCTTTTTTTTTTTTTTTTTCTTTACAAAATGTAGAGTGAGCTTAGATGATTAGCTGATATTTGATGCCTATCTTTTCAATGGGTACAGATGAACGCATGGGTACAGATGAACCCCGTTCAAAGTATCGGGAGTTTTTACCCAAATTCTACTATACTCTGATGGTGTAAATAACAAAGCATTTCTAAAGAACTTCCTCCTCATCTTTGTCCATATATTTTAATCTTGCTTTTTCCTACCTTTTCACTTGTAGCTTCTCTAAATCCTGAAAAATTTTAAAGCATAAACCATTTATGATAGTTAATGTTGTCCTCTTCTTGACTGTATTAAATGTGCTCATGTCGGACTTGTAGTCATCAATCCGCTTATCTATATCCGTTGTAAGGAAGTCCAAAAGAAAGTTTCTGCATACTGATTGCAGCATCTTTTCCTTAAAAAATCTTTGTCTTGTGAATTGGTTCAGTAGTTTATAAGGCTACTTCTCTGCTACTAAACTAGCCAGTGGACCGGAGCACGGGCCTGCTGTCACTCATGCCGCTTGATTGGCAGCATGTCCCACGTCCCAGTTTTGCCCTGGGCCAGCCGCATTGGAGCAGCCCCCAGAGACCATTCAGACGTTGGCCCAGGCTCATTTGCACCCTATTTTGTTGAGCCCCAGCCGTTGAGCCAGTCGCCGTAGGAGGTGAGGCACGCTGTGTGGGTTAGCCTGAGAGCCAGAGAAGGGCCCTAGGCTCTTTTGGTTACTCATGCAGAGGTAACGCAACCCCCCCCCCCTAGCGTCCTGCTCTGATGCTTTTTCGCCGGCACATTGATCTATCTGCGCTGTCGCAGTTTACAGCTAAGCTTGTTTTTTGCATAGAGTGTCATTCCACATCTTCTATTTATCCTTCTGCCTAAATGTTTTATAATCACTAATTTAACGTTCTTGTTAGGAGCTTTCCATTATACAATTACGGGGATTTGTTGGACTTTTTTTCCCGAAAGAGAAGTCCTGGTCGTCTAGCTCTTTACTGAGCGCTGTCATTGTTCAATACACTTGTGAAACCCTGGCTGTGTCTGCCCTGGTCGATTCATTCGTGCAAGAAAGCATTCCTTGGATGGACACTCACCTTGCCGTCCCGCCAGGCTGCCGGAGCGGTCCCTGACGTGCTTTTGGCCCAGGCCTACCAGCATTCTCCCAGCTGATCTCCAAGCCCGATTCAGAGGTTAGCAGGGGCCAGGATCCATTCCCAGTAGGCAGTTTGGATAAGGCCATCCAGTTGTGGGTGTTAAGAGATTTTAATAGTATGGACACGTGCAGATCATGCCAGAGATCAGGCCCTGGCCCGATGTAGTTTAATGCTGTAGCCTCGGAGTCTGAAGGGCTGCTGCGATGGCCTTCTTTGAACTCCCTGCTGGCTGCGAAGGTCGTGTCCTTCTGGCAGGTTTTAGCAAGCAGATCAGGCCCATTGCCCATGAGATGCAGGCTGTCCATCTGAGCTGAAAGGTGACGATCTGTCAGTCATGTTGCCAGTGGCTTCTTTCTAGTATTTTTTTAATCTTTTTTTGCTCAGCCAGCTGTTAGCTTAGCCTTCCTTTTTCTTCAGCTCTGTTTCCAAGCCCTCTGAAGCCGTCTATGATCGCTTAGTGCCATCAGCTAGCACTCTTCTAATATATAGTCACTGGGGATGATTGTCTGCCTTCTTGCAGGGTTTTTTTCTGTAAGCTACAAGGATATTCTGCAAATATATCCCATTTTGCTTTTTTTCCATTTCCTCAATCAGAATTTCCTCACTAGTTGATTTGCTGATTTATTTAATAACTGCTCAGTTCTTCTAGCAAAGCTGCAAGTCTCATGAGATTCTTTTCACATCTGTAGCTAATGCTAAAGCCTCATTTTTCAAACTAACAGCTCTTTTGTAGAGTTGAGATCATTTGAGATCCTTTCCCTGACCTGGCTCACCATCTGGTCCCATGAGTCCCAGCGCTGGTAGAAGGAACAACTGGAAACATGCGGGAGTTTGGGGAGGGCCACAGTGGCCTCCGCAGCTGATACTGATTCATAGTGCAGTGGAATCATATCCTACATCTGTTACATCAGTGCCTAAATATATATATATATGCAAGAACCTCAAGTCTTGAGAGAAAAAAATCAAAAGTATCTCTAGTTATGATAGATCTCTAGAGTCTAGATCTCTAAATCTCTGCAGTCATGTCCAGCTATCACAGAATGGTTTAGGTTGGAAGGGACCTCTGGAGATCATCTAGTCCATCGATATCCCTGTAGTGCCCTTAGTGCGCAGTTATGAAAATATCTTTGGCTTTTAATGTAGCGGTCAGTGAGAAGAAACTACTCTAAATTGGAGAACAGGTTCTGGTTAGTCTTGCTCAGACAGGCAATAAATGAGGGGAGCTGGATAAATGGGTTCACAGATTTTAAGGCCAGAATGAACTTTTATTCTGGGAATTTTAATTCTGTGACCTGAATTTTGGGGGGGGGGGACGCGCTTGCCAGTGGCCCTGCTGCCCTCTGCAGTGACGGCCTGTGCAAAGCCACTGTTGGAGCAGCTGGAAAAGCTGCAATTGCTATGTCTGCGTACGCAAGTATCTCAGAAGCGTGCTGCCCACCTTCTCCTCCTGACGCACACCGTCGCTCCTCCCGCCACGAACGCTGAGCTCCTCCACAGCCGTCATCACTGTTACCGGGACAGAATAGCCCTTAGAGCTGATAACGGTGTTCCCGTTGTTACCTGTAATGCAAGGACAAAATCTATAACATCATTTGAATTATGACAGAAATTCCTGACTCTGTTCTATCTTGCTCATAGCCAGTAACGTCTTTAAAGCTGGAGAGCGATTCTGCTGGCCCAGCAGAGAGCATAATGTGCATTTCTGTCATTCAGAAGAGGATAAATTCGTCCATTTTTCACCTTTCTCAGTCTTCCAAATTAGTAGTGATCCATACTGACGAAAGTTGCGCTGTTGCTTTGCAGCAAAGAGATTTGTCTCTGCATGATTTTTACTCCTTCCGCAGCCTTAGTGTTTTTGCCTCCCGGTTCTCTCTCCTCATTCTAGTTCTGATCGTTTGCTGCTCTTAATAACTTGAGATCTGATGCGCAGAGGTCACTGCAGGCCCAGCGGTAACGGTCGATCTGTAATCAAGAAGGAGATATTTCACCTCTCAAGTTATGACATTTTCCAGCTTTGGGATGGAAGATTTGGGCGCGCACAAAACCAAATGTAGTGCAGCGGCTAGCTGCACGCTTCAAATGGTATTTGCAGACTTCAGAGGATAGTAGTCTAATATTTCTCAGCTGAAAGCATGATCTTGAAGACGCAACATTGTTGAGTCCAGTATAGGAAGAGAAGCCAGTAAAGGTTCTGCATAAAAGAAAAGATCTCTGTGAAATCTGTTCCGTATATTCAGCTTTCACAAATACGGACGTTCATTTTAGACAAGAAACTTCTTTTGAGAGATGGAACAAATTACACCTTTGCTTTCTCACCGCAGCTGTTACGTCTGCCTTCCTTGTTTCCTTTTGTGTATACAGATGTTTCTGCAATTTGCTGTGTTCTGTTCTTTCATTTGATCTCTTATTTTGTGTATGTATGTTTCTTTTTAATATGATAATTAATCTATCCTGTTTCTCTCTTCACCTTTTTCTCTTGCCGACGTTTATAGGAAGAAGAGCAAAAGCAGGCAGTAAGTTGACTTCAGTTTGTAGGTGATCCAACTCTTTTTTCTTTCTGCATGAAAATACAATTTCCTGTTAATTGGATTGTATGCAAATAAACCATGCAGCAGAATTTGGGGTAGGAAGTGTGGGGTCTTCCTTGTTTGTAAAATTGAAAACAACCTTCATCAGTTTCCAGTAGAGCATGTTTTTGTGTATGCCCTCAAAGTTATTTTTCTCTCCCTTGCAAATTAAGTTTGTTGCCATGTGTATACAACCAATGACTATATTCATTAGTTTTTTAGACTTGTGCATGACCATCCAGGGTTGCGAATGTGAATTCTCAGCTTGCTTTATAATATATTTTGTTGGAGATTCTTTGCAGCATTTTACATGCTAATAAGAGCTTCCTCGTCTCTTCAGGTAACGTTTAATTTGCCTCTGCCACATAACAGGTTCACGCATGAAAACTAATTAATGGCTTAATACTCGAGGCATGGATTCATGTCATTCAGTCATGATATAGTTTCCTTGGATTAGTCCCAGTATGCTCATTGTAAACAAAATGAGTAAACTAACAAGAGACAAGAACGTGTTTGCTTTGTTATGGATTTTCATTTTCTTTGCATACCTATGAAAACCTGAATCTCGTGTTAATTTCGGAATCCACTCCAGAGGGAGCCCTTCTACTTTTCTCAGAAATAGCCAGATGTTCAGTGTCTTTTCTCCAGCAGAACAATTTTTCAGCATTTCCAACTGTGTTTTTCTTTGTACACAAAGCATTAACAAAGGTTAGTCCTGTGTTTCCCGATGCTGGGTTTTTTACATGTTTAGTAGATATCTTACATGAATTGAAAATGCTCTTAACTTATTTTTTGTAAGGAGGTATGTATTTCTGGGTGGCTTCTGTTGCTGAAAACGCTTCACAGTGCTGCATGTGCTGGAAATGGCTTTTGGTGACTCATGAAAGGCCTTTTCCTAAAACTCTGTCATCAATTTAAAGAGAAGCTTGCGGTAAGTGTGCATCTTCTGTTGAATCCCAACTCAATTTTGGCTGATGCTGCCTGTGAAGATGTATCCCTGGGTTTGCTAAGGTGCCTTGCAGAAATTCTTTCCTTAATGAAGGGACCAGGTTGCAGCATGTGGCAGTGATCTTCAAGGAATTTCCTGGAGAAAGGAAAACAACCAAGACACCACAGTCCCTGTCCTCCCACTTCAAACACTGCAAGTGGAATGCTGTATTATGTGTCATTCTCTTACCCAGCATAATCACTAGGAATAAGCATCTACATGGAAATGCAGTATTATGTTATCTTGTTTTTCCTGTGTTGTGATGTTCATCCTGATTATGGATATAGAAGAAGGGTAAATATAATAACAAAGGAAGAATTTGCCTGATTTTACTTCCCTTCTCTCTATGGAACACTATATTTACAAGAGGATAAGAGAGCCAACTTTTGCTAAAACAATGTCAACACATTGTTTCACCCAGTCCCATTCTGTTGGAAGCAATGATGAATGAGCCAGAAAGGATATGAAACTCAAGACAGCAAATTTTGGCCAAATGAAGGCCACGCTGCTGATATGTAGGAATTGAAACATTACATCCTTTCTCATTTGCATGGACTGAAGTAGATTGAAATTGCTTTCCTCTAAAGCGTAAAGGTGCAGCCTGAGGAGACTAGAGGTCTCAGCGCACGGTGTTCCACTTGGCTGAGTAAACAGACAGACTCACAGAACAGGTGAAGTTGGAAGGCATTTCTGGAGGTCATCTAGTCCAACCCCTCCGCTCAAAGCAAGGTCAGCTGGAGCAGATTGCTCAGGACCTTGTCCAGGCAGGTTTTGACCAACCCAACTGGACATCCTGTCCAAGGATGGAGACTCCACAACCTGCCTGGGCAACCTGTGCCAGTGCTTGACCACCTTCACGGTAAGAAAGCTTTTTCTTATGTTTAAATGGAATTTCCTATATTTCAGTTTGTGCCTGTTGCCTCTTATCCTTTCACTGAATACCGCTGTGAAGAGTCTGGCTCCATCTTCTTTATACTCCCCCATCAGATCAGCTTTCTCTCCTCCAGGATGAACAGTCCTAGCTCTTTCAGTCTCTCCTCATATGGCAGATGCTGCAGTCTCTTAATCATCTTCATGGCCCTTTCCTGAACTCACTACAGTAGCTCTATGACTTTCTTTTACTAGGGAGCCCAGAACTGGACCCAGCACTCCAGATGTGGCCTGACCAGTGCTGAGTAGAGGGGCAGGCTATGCTTTTCCAAATGCAGTCCAGGATACCCTTGGCCTTCTTTGCCACAAGAGCACACTGCTGGCTCGTGGTTCGCTTGTCCACCAGAACCCCCAGGTCTTTATTCTGCCACACTGCTTTCTGGTCAATCATCCCCTAGCCTGTCCTGGTGCACGGGGTTATTTCTTCTCAGGTGCAGAACTTTGCATTTCCCTTTGCTGAACTTCATGAGGTTCCTCTCTGTGCATCTCTGCAGCCTGTCAAGGTCCCTCTGAATGGCAGTGCAGCCCACTGGGGTATCAGCCACTCCTCACAGTTTTGTATCATCTGCAAACTTACTGAGGGCGTACCCTGCCCCATCATCCAGGTCATTAATTAATCCAGGTCATTAATTAAGGTTAGACAGTACTGGACCCAGTATCAAAACCTGGGGCACACCGCTAGTGACTGGCCTCCAGCTGAACTTCATGCTGCTGACCACAACCCTACACGTCACCAGTGTAGTGGTATCTTTGCTGTTCTGGAAGGGAGATAATGGCTATCTGCAGTCTGAATTCCAGAAGAACTCATTGAACCATACGCTGGCTTGGTAATGTATGTGATGACTTCATCATCATCCAACAGAAATACTTGGATAAAGGACTGAATGTCTGTGAGAGCTCAGGTTAAAGAAACACAGCCAACTTTAAAATATTATCAAACATCCCACCATCTTTTTGAACCTCTGCCAGTTTTGGTGGTTATAGAGTCATATCTTCCCTCTCCATAAGTGCTTAAAACCATACAGTAGCTAGGAAGGGGTACCAGTCTACAGTGTTGCTCAGACGGCTCCATCTCATCCTCTGTCCAGAAACAGCTGGAACATATATGAAGGGAAATGTGGAACACCATTTAGGTCCCATGGAAGAGAGGGCCCAAGTGGCTTAGTGATCGAAAGTCATGATAATCTCAACCCTTAACACAGTGGATTGATTATGTGGTGGCAGCATGAATTTACATGAAAGGTTAAGATAAATAACAGGCAGATCAACAAGACAATAGCTGATTCAGGACTGGCAGCAGATCAAGAGCAGTAGCCTCAGCATCCAATTTTGCAGTTTCTGATTTCCCTTCACTGCTGAAGCTGCAAGTCTGGTTCTGCCTTCTCCATATTGCTAGCAAGATTTACAGAGATGGGCCGAAGAGGATGGGCTTTCTTGGCTACGTTTGAGCAAGTTGCTTGGCCAGCAAAAAAGACTTCCTGGAAAAAAGCCATCTCATGCATTTAACCAAGACAACACAAGCTATATTCCAGGGGCTGAACGTGCCCAGGTGAGCATGGCTATTTTGAACTGCATGGCTGTCATCATAATCAAGCATTCAACCTAGCTGATCAAGACATTTAGGCTAGTGGGAAAGTTTTTTCATATATTTGCAGCCAGAAAGAGAGATTGTATTTCTCAGATTGACTAGAGATCTTAGCTGCTGCTAGTGGGCTAATAAGAAGTTACTCAGTTGCTGAGTATACCACCGGGCACCTACAGAGAACTTCATGAGAACTGACTTTCATCTCCAGCAAAAGACTAACTGACCATAATGGCATCTGAGAGACCAAACTCCAGACAAAAAAATGTCCTTAAAAGGCCTAGAAGCTATCATGGCCCTTGGCCAGTGTTGGTCAGGAAATCATGGCAGATTATGAGCAGTTTGTATCAGGAAAGATCCATTGTTTCTGATCCCAATATTTACAGGAACGTCCATTAACTTCCGTGCCCCATGTTCAGAATTGATTTTCCATAAAGATTTCAAAAGCTTCTGGATTCTCTTT